TCAGTTAAATCTGAATTTCAAATAAATAGCAATAGTTGTTTGTTCTTTTTTTGTTTTTTAGTATAGATATGATACATGCAATATTTGGGACATATTTAATTTAAAATGTCCTGGATGTGTTCAGAGAAATAGTAAGTTGTTTTTAAAGGCCTTAGAGGAAGAAAATGGGCAATAATGTGGGAAAGAACTTTGGTTATACATAGAGGGAGGGTCTTAGATTCGACACAGAAGACTGAAAACATGCTTTTTATGGGGACTGTGGAAAACTTTTTTTAATGTGGGAGTGATATGATCTGACACGCACTGTAGGAAAAAATAAGATAGTGATGAAAAGGGGAAAAACTGAGACAAGAAATTGGCTAGGAAGTGACATATAGTGAGGATATTGATTTATTTGGTGATGGGAACGGTTTGGAAATAGAGATGGTTGAGATAGAGTAAAAGCAGCAGATTGGATCTCAGGGACAAAAGAGATGTAAAGTCAAAGATGCTGCATTTATGCCTATTGACTAGGGTGATAATGATTTTGTTAGCACGTAGGAAAGGAGTAGGACGAAAAAACAGATAATATGAAATAGGGGTCATGTCAGGAGGACCTGGAAGGGTATCTAGATACAGATGCTTAGTAAGCAATTACAAATATTTTTCTGTACTCAGTGATTTTGAGATTTTAGATACTTAAGCTGTTAAATTCAATGAGTTGGGCACTATTAGAAACAAAAGAGGAACAAGTGATTGAATAGCAAAGAGACAGAACAAGAATAATGAAATAATTGTGTTGGGTCTTGGAAATCCTGAAGTCAAGGTCCATCATCACTTTTCAATTATTCAGAGAAGTCAAGAGTGTAGACTGAAATTGGTGCTGGGAATTTTTGAAAGAGCTATTTTAGGAAGGTCACATGGATGAGGGCCACCATGGTTTTGGAGATTGAGGAGTTAATGGGTGATGAGGAAGTGGAAGAAACCAAAGGAGGGGTGCTCCAAGAGAACACGGGGTGGTGGGGGGGAGAGCCAATAGAGAGGGACGACTGGGGAATTTAATAAAAGAATGGAGCAAAGTCTGAAAAGAATGTGCAGCAATAAGATTAAAGATAACCAACCACTAGGTTAAGTTCACAAGTTTCATCAAGATTTATTTTTTCCATTTGCATATTGTTTGGGGGTATTGGTGAACGTACAGACATTAATTGTAGGATTATGACCCATAATAAGAGTTTTAGCTCAAAGGCAATGGTGTGAGGAAGAATTTTTAAGGACGCTGATAAACACTCTTAAATAATAGGGAAATTTGAGGCTGAATGAGTCTCTGGATGTATAGCTTTGATCAGCTTTACAAAGGGATCACAAAAGGTGACAAAAAGAATTAAAAAAAACACTATTCTACATTTCCTACAATAATACTAGTATGTCATAATTTTGATATTTCATAAAACTGACAGCTAATTTAAATATTAGCCTAAAACTGTAGCCTAAAAGAACCCCTACTACATGAGGGTTAGTAATAGACCTCTAGGAGAGAAACCAAGATGGCGGCATAGGTAAACACCGGAAATTGATGCCTCACACAACCACTTCAAAAATACAACTAAAAGACAAAACATACATCATCCAGAACCACAGGAAGGCTGGCTGAGTGGAAATTCTACAACTAGAAGGAAAGAGAAAAGCACACTGAAACTCAGAGGAGGTGCAGAAGTAAAGTGCAGAGGTACGGAGGCACACGTGGAAAGGGCTGGCAACGGAGGACACCAGTGTCTTTTTCAATAGAGAGGGAGTCTCAAGCTCCCGACTGCTCTGAACTCCAGTTCCGGGCGAGTCTCTGGGGACCCAGACTCGTACGGGGAGAAACTGGACTGTCTGGCATCAGTCGGAACTCAAGGGCGGCTTTCTCTCAGAGGTGCTTGCAGCGATTACCGGGACACTGAGACACGGGGCCTCTTAGGGTAGGACTGAGGAGCAGCCATAGCTGCTTGCTCTGCCCTGTTAATTCCCTGAGACCCCGCCCCACCCAAGCTTTTGCATATGAAAAGCCTGGCCCTTTGCAATCTGAAAATTACCTAACAAACTGCAGCTGGGTCAGAGAGACCCAGAACTTCCAAAAGAAGGCCCAAGGCCCCACAGCAGCTTGCATTGCTTCACAGCTGGGCCTCATCTGGGCACCTCCAAACCCCAAACAAAGAATAGGAATCTGCAGATCTCTCCATAGCTCCTGCTGGGTAGCCTCAGGCAGAGGCTAAATTAGCACTTCCTTAGAGATCCAAGAGTCAGTGTACCCAGTGGTCAGAGTGGGACCATCCAGATTACAACTCCTCAGATCCATAAGGTACACACGTAGGGGGCAGACTCAGTGAGCACCAAAGCCCCACTGAAGCAAGTCTTGCCCCAGAAGGGTGTCTCCAGCACAGAAATTCTCCCACTGCAAACACAGCTGATTCTCACAGTCAATTGGACTGGAGGTCAATTCCTCCCAGTGATACCTACAACAATCAAGGCTTAACTATAACAAGACTGTGCACAAAGCCCACAAAGGGGTGCACCAAGAGTGTCCACATCAGGTAATTGGAGAGGCTGAGCCACTGGGCCCTATAGGACACCTAGCACACAAAGCCACTCTATCAACACAGGGAAGCATAAAAAATGCGAAGACAAAGAAACAGGTCACAAATGACAGAAATGGAGGAAAGCAAACTACTGGATATAGAGTTCAAAACCACACTTATAAGGTTTTTCAAGAATTTTTCTAGAATCCGCCGATAAATTTAGTGAGACCCTCAAGAAATCTAGTGAGACCCTCGAGGATATGAAAAAGGACCAACTAGAAATTAAGCATACACTGACTGAAATATAGAATATTATACAAAGTTCCAACAGCAGACTAGAGGATCGCAAGAATCAAGTCAAAGATTTGAAATACGAAGAAGCAAAAAATACCCAACCAGAAAAACAAAAAGAAAAAAGAATCCAAAAATATGAAGATAGTGTAAGGAGCCTCTGGGACAACTTCAAGTGTACCAACATCCGAATTATGGGGGTGCCAGAAGAAGAGAGAGAGCAAGATATTGAAAACCTATTTGAAGAAATAATGACAGAAAACTTCCCCTACCTGGTGAAAGAAATAGACTTACAAGTCCAGGAAGCACAGAGAACCCCAAACAAAAGGAATCCAAAGAGGACCACACCAAGACACATCATAATTAAAATGCCAAGAGCAAAAGACAAAGAGAGAATCTTAAAAGCAGCAAGAGAAAAAAAGCCAGTTACCTACAAGGGAGTACCCATATGACTGTCAGCTGATTTCTCAACAGAAACTTTGCAGGCCAGAAGGGAATGGCAAGAAATATTCAAAGTGATGAATACCAAGAACCTACAAGCAAGATTACTTTACCCAGCAAAGCTATCATTCAGAATTGAAGGTCAGATAAAGAGCTTCACAGATCAGGAAAAGCTAAAGGAGTTCATCACCACCAAACCAGTATTATATGAAATGCTGAAAGGTATCCTTTAAGAAGAGGAAGAAGAAGAAAAAGGCAAAGATACAAATTATGAACAACAAATACACATCTATCAACAAGTGAATCTAAAAATCAAGTGAATAAATAATCTGATGAACAGAATAAACTGGTGAATATAATAGAATCAGGGGCATAGAAAGGGAGTGGACTGACTATTCTCAGGGGGTAAAGGGGTGTGGGGGGTTCGGGAAGAGACTGGACAAAAATCGTACACCTATGGATGAGGACAGTGGGGGTGGGGTAAACCAGAGGGTGGGGTGGGAACTGGGTGGATGGGAGCTATGGGGGGAAAAAAGAGGAACAACTGTAATAATCTGAACAATAAAGACTTAATTTAAAAATAAAATAAAATAATAGACCTCTATAAGTGTATGATACCTCTTTTCTACTTGATTCTCAAAGATGCAAAGAATTAAAACAAAATCCACTATGGTGTAAAACATTGCTGATATAATTTAAGCATAATCTAACTAAATGTAGATATATTATGTTCATTGATTAAAAGACTTTATAATTTTAACATGTCAATTCTCCCCAAACTGACCTACAGATTCAATGCAATCTTGATTATAATCCCAGCAGTCTATTTCGGTAGGCAGATGCAAAGGACCTTTAATATCCAAAACAATCTTAAGCAGTAAGTACAAAGTTGTGGGACTTGACTTGGTAATTTAACAGAGTTATGGCAATTAAAGTATTGTGAAACTGCCTAAGGATGGACAAGGAGAACAATAGAAGAGAAGAGAGCCTAGAAATAGACTCCTACTTATTCAGTCAAAGGCACCAATAAGTGTTGCTGGAATAACTGGATAGCCATATGGAAAAACTGAACCTCAATCCCTACCTCACATGTAATAAAAATTAATTCAATATGAATCATATGCCTAAATATACAAGGTAAAACATAGATATTTCAGGGAATAAAACCACGTTGGGCATGTGCTGGGGGGTGAGGGTGGCTGGGGAGAGGTCAATGGGGGAAAAAGAAGACATATGTAATACTATATGTAATACTTTAAACAATCAAGAATTTTAAAAAAACCACACTTTGGATCTTCTCAAAGTCACCACAAATATTGTCCCACTTCTTTAAAATATTGTTACCCAATTCCCTTTTATAATTAAGTAGTTATACTGAATACTTAGAACACAGTTCAGTCTGGGTGGCTCTAAGATAATTAAGCAATTGGTTAAAAATAAATAACTTCTACAATAACCTAGATGTGAATTCTGTCTGGCAAAGACATTTTCTTACTACTGTTTATTATTTAAAGTTTAAGGCAAATAATTCACTCACCTTCAATGGAAAAGGTTGCCTAGATTTAGCTCAAATGGTTCCAAAAGAGATTTTCTGGTTTTTAATATAATTGCATTATACAGACAAAAGATTCTAGATATTTTCTTACTTGCTTCTCTCCCCTCTGCCCATTTCCTCAAGAAACACAAAACACAACAACAACAGTAAAGCATGCAACACAAGCCACTCACCGGAGCCCATACAGAACTGTTCCATCAGGATGCAGCCGGATCATTCGGTTTTTCACTGTAACCCCATGCACGAATGATTTCTTGTCATTCAGAAAGTACGTATCTGGTACCCAGAGTTGGTCGGCTACCCTGTTGTCTAGCGTGAGGTTTAGCGGGACTCCAGAATAAGAAAGCCTTTTGTCTTTCCAAGACTGCTGGAAATACATGGTGAGCGTATAATCCTGTGAAATAAAGGAAACAAACAACAAAAAAAGAATTTACTGTCATCGTCATCATCATCATCATCATCATCATCATCATCATCATCTGAGGACTTTTGTTAAGAAGGTGATAGCTTGTGGTATTGTGAATGACCAGAGACACATGGTCCCGTCCTGCTGTCCCTTAAGAGGATACATTTGAGTGAGTACATTGACATCTGCACCTCTAAGCACAAGGCAACCAATAGGTTAGATGTGCTATAGCAATAATTAGATGCATGCACAGCCATTCCCACCAACATAGGAAAAAACATTTAATTGAATTTTAATATTTGACGTTAAGGTGATGATATCACGGGGAAGGTCAAAAAGGAAAATTATACCGAGAAATGTTCACAAAAATTGACCTCTGGATATTATATTTACTACATGTTTGGAGGGAATGTTTGCTAAGTAATAACTAAAAATGTATGCACGTAAAAGGAGAGGGTGTTTTGCAAACTGTGAATGCCTTTTGAATGAATACTGTTGTTTGCCCTATGAAGATTATTAATACCATTATCTGAATCTTTCTAGAAATGACAACTTGTCTAATAGTCCTGAAAGGTAGTTTGTAAAGCCTGAGAACGACATCAGTGGTGGAACTGCTCACTAGTTCTTCTCTTACCCTCATCCCTGCTTTGTTTCAGGAATTTGTTTGAGGTCAGAGATAGGTTTGTACTTGAGTTTGCTTTCTCACCTCCTATAAAAGGTTACACTAAAAATTATAGAAAGGGAATGATTATTTTAGATCTGTAATTGTCTGTTTTTATATTTTATGGTTTTATTATTTTTTTAAATTTCAGTGAGAGGAAAGGAGAAAGGAAAGAGAGAGAGAGAGAGAGAGAGAGAGAGAGAGAGAGAGAGAGAGACATTGATGTGTGAGAGAGAAGCATCGATCAGTTGCCTTCTGCAGTGCCCCAACTGGGGATCAAATCTGCAACCAGGTATGTGCCCTGACTGGAAATCAAACCTACCACCCTTTAGTGTATGGAACAATGCTCCATCCAAATGAGCCACATCAGACAGGGTTAAAGAAATCCAATAATACAAATGATAGTTGTCCATTAAAAAAATAAATGGTAGCAATGACATCACAATGTTGGTGTACTGCCATTGCTCTACAGAGTGGTATGTACACTACATACCACTCACTAGTTGAGAAACATTGACTCACATCATGCCTCACATGTGGGCAAACTGTACTTTATGTAGATCTCTGGATGGATAGTTATGCATTTCTTAAGAATAACACAACATTCAGCCTGGATAATGAGTTTCAGTGTCCTTTAACCATTATATTCAATAATGCTTACATTATTTACTCAGAAACCATCTTGCAATAATTCAAAGCTTATTATTTCTTGTTCAATGACAAGGATATATGCTATTTGCTATTAATCATGCAATATTCCCTTTAAATGTCTAAAACTTCCTTCCACCTTACCTTCAATTACAAAGGAACCCACAGGTTTATACACAATTCTCTTGTTAATTGCTACCATTCTTATCTGTGTTCTCTTCAAATTCTTAACATCATACCTTTTCAGAGGGAAATGAATTAGAAAAATTCTGGATCTTAGATTCCAAAATACCTTGATTCCAAGATCTACCACATGCAGAGCTATGTAACCATGACCAACTAACCTAACCCCTTGTATTTCGAATGCCTCATTTTAGAAATAATAGCATTTTACTGGCTTACTGTGAGCATTACTTGGGAAAATTATGGTGAAGGTACTTTAGAAACTATAACATGCTATACAAATATTACCTTCAAAATTGTTCATTGCTATTTAAAGATTTATATCATACTTCCAAATTACATATTCATTTTCATAAGCATTTCTATTTCTAAAGAGATGCTTATTAAAGTACTTGTAGGCAGAGGACCTCTTTGACCATGAAAATAAGCAACCAACTGTGATCACTTGTAAGTTTTGGTGTTGGTTTCTTATTTGTAATTCAGCCAGTGTGAGAAAAGTAATAACTAGCCAAAGACATGTTATTGTAAATTCTGCCATAGGAATCAGCATGATCAGCAATAGAATACATGTTTCAATGTGGGGGGACGGTGGTGAGGGGAGGAGGAGAAGGGTATAGGGGTATAAATGGTGATGGACAGAGACTTGACAGTGTACAGATAATGTGTTGTAGAATTGTGCACCTGAAACCTGTATAATTTTGTTAACCAGTGTCACCCCAATGAATTCAATAAATAGGAAAAAATACTCATGTTGAATACCCATAAACTTCCAGAATCTCATGAGTGCTACGAAGGATTTCCTCAGAATAAGACCATGAAGTGAAATTCTTACTCCATATTCTCCTCAATAGTTTTAATGTGTACTGGGAAAACATTTATTATTGTCAAGTATGAAAGATTATAATGACAAAATAAAACTGTAATAATATACACTATAATTAAAATATGAGTTTGTGGTAAGTAAACATTGTAGAGTGAAAAGGAGAAAATAATGTAAGCAGGAGTAATCTCTGCATACATTTAAATGTGTGTGTGGGGGGGAGAGGTGGGGGTTGTGGGTGTGTGTAGATTTTCCCTTCTCTTTCTGGAAACTGTTTTGTTTCCCGTAGAGAAAGAACTATACCCATGCAGTAAGATCTTTGCTCTATACAACTCACACTATTTTCAATAAACATTGACTAAAAGTCACATCATGGTTTTAAATTAAAGCAATAACTTACCTTATTTTCAATAAGAAGTAATTCAGTGAAAATTTACGCTCCAATGTTACATTTGGAAATGGGTGATGTGGGACAAGTACCCTTCAGAACATTTCTTCCTAAGCATGTCTAGGGTTATTATTTTAATCTATAACCTGATTATATGATAAATGAAATATAGACATATGAGATTCCTAACCTTAATAAAAACTTTGTGAAGTTAATGATAATGATAAACATTTTGGAAAGACCTAAAGCACAGCAATCTCTTCTTTTTGTACCATCTACATAGTATCTTACTCAAGACAATAATCTCTTTCTCCCAGAGAGTGCACTGTGGTTTTTATAACCCTTCATATCTACTATCACCATTCTTCTCCAAACCTTGTGAGATCGGCAAATTCTCTATGACAGACATTATGATCTACGTGTCTGAGAGATGATAAACTGTGCCTTAAATGCATTATTCTTTCCCTCTAAAGCTTAATATAAATATGAACAGTGACATCTGAATATAACAAAGCCTATGACATCATTTTGGTGTATCCTATTTTTATACAGAAATGAAAAGATTAAAATTATTGTATTTTTCCCCTCATACAACAGATTTTCTATTAATTCTTCATTAGTCCAAAGTGCAAGCACTCCAGGGAGAATGAAAATTCAGAAAAAAAATCAAAGGTATTAATAATTTGGTGGAAACCACTAAAATAATTTTTCTTCCCAAGTATATTTACAAGTATCCAATCTGCTTTCTCAGGTTTGCAAGCTACTCCTTAAATGGAAGTGGGACATATTTAGAAACTACAGGCCGTAGGGGATTCTTTGATACTGAGGCAAATTAATGGGATTAATGGGTATGAGATAGCTAATGAAATTGGTCAGGCTAATTCAGGCATGACAAAATTCAATTCATTGAGGAAAAGGAAGATAGACGATAGCAAATTGGAGTACTCAATTGAGCTCCAGAAGGGCATACTTTTTAAATCTAAAAATGTTTAAAGAAATAAGAAAATACTTACAACAAACGAAAGTCATTCTTTTGAAGAATAAAAATTACACTTGTTTTAATAGCAGTTTAAATTCAGGGCAATTTTGACCCCCCCCCCCGCCCCCCCGCCTCCAGAGCACATTAGGAATGTCTGGAGGCAGTTTGGTTGTGACAACTGGGAGTAATGCTGTGTGCTACTCGCATCTGTGGGGAGGGCCAGGGATGACCCTATATACTGCACCGCACAGTACAGTTACCTCAGCACAGAATTATTTGATTCAAAATGTCAGTAGTGCCAGGGTTAAGAAACCCTACATTAGATGAATATATCTTTCTTTTTAGTATCAGTAAAAAAATATCAAAATCTTCTATCATTATTTATTATGAAAAGTATGTACTCTAATATGTCTACCCCAAGACTTTAATATACCCCTTGACACTTTGTGAGTGGTGGCATTAGATCATGTATAATTGGCCACTTTACCACGAGAAATCATTGGATAAAAATCCATTAATTATCTAGCACCCAAATAGGGGAAAAGAGTTATGTGTTAGGCAAATATATTGAGGTATGCATTTTACCAGTATGAGCTCTAAGAAGACTTCATAGTGGGTTGGGAAAGTGAGCATCCCTTATTAGCTGCCTCCACAATCAGCACATTTCAGTCTAATTTGTTAGTAAAGAGACAAAATAGTGCTTTAACATCTTACAATATTGCATCCATTCATAAGGAACCATGCGAGCAACCCTTCCTTTTTAAATTATTTCAAAAAAGGCCACATAGGGGGTTATGGTTGGATAAGGACACATATGTAATACCTTAATCAATAAAGAAATTAAAAAAAAATTTTTTTAAAGCCACATATATAATCAGGTTATATATGTGTGTGTGTTTGTGTGTGTGTGTGTGTGTGTGTGTGTGTGTGTATTCCCAGGATTCTTGCACACATTTGTATTTTATCTTTCATCATGTGAATATACATTATAAGGGGTCCCAAATACAAATCCCTCTTTCCTGAAAATTATTTTTCCATTGTACATGAACTCAATATCTGCTCTTTCCCAAGCTAAGGTTGTTTTCTCCCAAAGGAGGACTGTAGTAGAGCTGTGCATTGTTGTTAACCACTTTTACAGTCCCTTTGTGATAGAAACTGCCCTGTCTACAGCCCTTGCTGGTTGAGCAAGGCCAAGTTCTATATCATTTACTATTGTCCCCATTCACCTTGAAAATGGAGAGTAGATATCTTGCTTAAGAGCACTTGATCCACAGGCAGGCAATAAACTTGTGCCTGGCTCAAAAAGATG